AGCAACCTCAAACTCTTGGTCTTACGTGATTTTCTTACCTCAGCCTCCCAAGTAGCTGGGATCACAGGTGCCCACCACAACGCCTGGCTATTTTTGTTGTTGTTGTTGCAGTTTGTCATTGGTGTTTAGCAGGCCCCAGGCCAGGTTCGAACCTGCCAGTCCAGTGTATGTGGCTGGTGCCCTAACCACTGAGATACGGGTGCTGAGCCTCTTTTTGATATCTTTATTAACACTTTCTTCCTTGTAGTTTATGGATTCAAAAAATGGGTCTGGAAATGACTTTGACCTTTTATTTTGGCTCTCCCCATAGTTTCTACAAATCCAGAAGGCTGGGGTGGGGGTGGGGGTGGGGGTGGAGAACCTATGACCTCAAGACTATATGTGGCCCTCCAGATCCCCAAGTACAGCCCCTTGATTGACTCCAAATGTCACAGAACAAATCCCTTTATTAATAACGGATTTAGGGCTCGGCGCCTGTGGCTCAGGTGGCTAACGCGCCAGCCACATACACCTAAGGTGGCAGGTTCGAATCCAGCCCAGGCCCGCCAAAACAATGATAGCTGCAACCAAAAAAAATAGCCAGGTGTTGTAGCGGGTGCCTGTGGTCCCAGCTACTTGGGAGGCTGAGGCAGGAGACTTGCTTGAGCCCAGGAGTTGGAGGTTGCTGTGAGCATGATGCCATGGCACTCTACTCAGGGGGATAGCTTGAGGCTCTGTCTCAAAAAAAAAAAAAAAAAAAAAGAAGAAGAAGAATATGATCAAGCTGAGCCTTCCAACCAAAATGTTGACCTGGCAAGGCCATTGCAAACTTCTCTTCAGGTGTGCTATGCTATTAGATTTGAATGATTTCTCAGTTCTGCCTGGGAGTAGGAAGTGGGAAGACTGACTTACATGGAGTGTTGTAAATTCCAGTTAATAAGCTATAAATATAGCCTAGTGTTACAGGATTATTTATTGGAAGATACTCTTTTGTAAATATATCCTCTGCCTAGCCTGAGGGTAACTTCTTGAGTGAGTTAAGCTTTGAGAAGAGAGGGGAAGAATTTGTTTTGATGGTGTTTTTGTTTTTTCTTTGTATAAGTGTATATGTACAGCTTTACACATTTCTAGTGCTTTCACTTAATCTATTTTTGGATTCTCTTAGAAACTTTTCAGGTCAATAATGCTTCCAAGTCTCTTTTTGATATCTTTTTTTTTTTTTTTTTT